TGTGATGGATGAAGTGATGTATCCTTATCAGTTTTTCAGTTTCACACACAAAGCAAGAAGTTTTGATGATCGCTTGCTTAACTACTTTTAGGAAAGAATTTAGAAAATCTAAGAAGGAATCCGTCAGAAGTTCGAGTAACAAGTGGACAAAAACTCTGTACCAAGATTTTTTACCTGGTATAGCAAACTTTTAAGCAACTATTTTAAATATCTTCTCAAAAGAAATCATTTCAAAGAACACCAAATGTCAAAAGCAAATTTTGAAGTTCATATGAAACTGGTGAAATGAAACTGATGACGAAATTTTACCTGTGTTTGCACATGTTCTCTGAACTTTGAAATTTATTTTCTCTAGTTCCCATGGTCAATTGTTTTTGGTGTTATTTCAGGTAACTGTTTATACTTAAGTTTTTAGAAATAATATGATATACTAAAAGTTATGCTGGTGCGAGGTTTTTGTCCGCTAAAAAATGAAATTGCGCGATTTCCTATCGGATTTTATCTCCACTTATCAGACTTCGATAAAAGTCTGCTCCGAGAAACTGCTGGAAAAGAGAAAATTAAGAGCAGAACTGTAAAACAGAAATCAGTATTACACGTTTGACACGAGCATTCAAATTCCCCCTCCCGGTTCTATACATTTCTTCTGGAGATACTAACTGGGGACAATTGGATCTATCAATACGAAAAAAATCTTGTTGATGAGTCGGAAAAGATTCGCCCTCTCTCAGAACAAAAGTGCTCAACATTGCATTGAGCTTGTATGGAGAACTGAACTGTTCAAAGTGTTCTGTACATTTATTGCGTGAGAAGCACTGAATGTTATCATCTCTTGTAAACAAGTTTGTCCGGTTGTGTGAATTGCGTCATGGGTTGTCCACCAGTGCCACATGTACCAACACCAACCTAAAAGAAAGACAACAACAAAGATAACGAATACGTTATCGAAGTTCTCTTCGTCTTCTTCTTTCAGGTTTTTCAACTCCTGTTGGTTGTTTTACTCATTCTAGTTCTAGTCAAACTCAAGCCAAACAGGTAAACTGGCGCAGTCTTCCGGAGCTTATCCCGGTCAACCTCAGCATGAAGCGGCAAAGAGTAACGCTACCCCTTCCTGGATGGGATGCTTGTCCAACGCAGACCTCCCTTCCCCCGCTCCCCTCCCCCTCTCCCAGAATTCTGTTAGGTTGTCCTAGTCTAGTGTCAGTGAGTGATGGTGACCTAAATGGTTAGTGCACTGGAAGGAGTTTGTATTCTTGACTTGGACTAAGAATTCAAGAACTTTTCAAGATCATTCCTGGACACAATTCCAATTTCTCAATGACTCAATCCAATAAAAAAAAAATGCCACTAAGGCACTAGCATGTTAAGGGATACCTAACAGATTTGTTTCGAGTCTAAGTCTTCTGTAGTTACACTCAATACAGAGATAAGCGAAAAGCTATCAATGATCGTTTCCTTTTTGTATGAACTGCATGCGGCGACGTTTTTCACCTTATTAGCCAAACAGCCAAATAGCAAATTTCAAGGTTTTTCAAAAGTCCAATGTAATATACACTTCTATATTTCACACGGCCTTTCCATGCCTGAAATTTCATTTTTAAATTTGAAGACTTTCAAGGTGTGCGCAAACCCTGACTGGACATCGGATCGGGCGGTTCGGCTTCGAGCCCTTCTGAGGTCACTATTTGTAATTTCCCTTTCTGTCAACGACTTCAATTTCTTGGAATTCCCCCCGCGATTACATGTACTTGGTCTTTATGAACAGTAACACGGAACCTGGGTTCCTACAAAGTTCCTACAAAGTACCTACAAAGACTTTTTGCCACATGTTTTGTTTTTTTCTGACTTATTATACCCAGAAGAAAAATTTGGTTTGCTGACCACATAGATTTCATTACTTTTTCTGGCAGGGACTACACTGGAGTCGTTCCAGACACAAACAACATTTTCTAATTTTTATTGTTTTTGGAAAAAAAAAGAAAAGAAAAGAAATGTGGGAGGGGGGTCAGGGCCTTGAAAGAATCATGGAAATGCTGTAGAGAACAAAGATCTGACAAGACTTACCTTTCCTTGAATCGACTCTGGAGAGGCAAATATGCTCTTTTTTGAAACACCCTTCAAACTCTTTCCTGATTTGCTTGAGCCACCACCCTACAATGAAGACACCAAAATTGAATATTATATTAAAACGTAATTGTGATTATGTGCTTCAAGGGATGTTCGGTATGGCTTGGGTTAAATTGGTATCCATGTCTATTTAAACCTACATGTAAATACTGAACATGTGGGGAAAACAGCTTACAACAACCACATGTACATGAATCATAGGTCCGCAATGGGTACAGAGGTTTTGGATCAAATTATTTGAAGTTCAAAGGGTGGAAGTAAATAACGCTATCCGGTTTGTTTTGTCAACATTTATCCACTAGAATAGCGATCTATCAACCACCCTTTGAACAACTGAACCCTGAGCTCTACATTTACTTATGATCGTCCTGTTTACAGCAATTGCTTAGGTTGTTACGCAGTCACTTGGGTTGTTAAGCAATTTTTTTTTTTCTCATGAGCATTGAAACAGAACACAACCAACGGGTGGAAATAAGGCAATGGGCAAAATTTAAATGTACAGTGTGTACTGTAAATTTAGCCTGGTCCTTACTTGCGATGCAAGCATAAGCATAAGCATAAGAAGCTTAAACACCGGTGAGGATGGCTGCAACATAAGCATAGGCATAAGCATAAGCATTCTTCTTATGCTCATGCTTACATGTATGTTTAGTGAGGACATGGTTGACATAACCATAAGCTGCTTGTTGATTGGCTGTAAGTCTTCTGCATATGCTTACATGTATGCCAACATGTCCTCACTGGATGCAATAGCAACATAAGCATATGCATAAGAAGAATGCAAGGTTTTGATATTCTTAGTCTTACATGTACATGTATGCTCATGTCTGGACCTCCTCACTAAGCACATAAGCAGCTTTTATGTTTATGCTTATGCTCATGCTTCTGCTTGGGTCGCTAGTGAGGACCAGGCTTCGGTGGGTCTTAAATTGTATTTGCAACCATATTAACCGGCAATTATTGCAAATTACAATAAAAATTCAATATGAAGCCTTTCCACACGTTTTAGCCAAGAACAAGCCAAATAACCTAGTGAGATGACAAACCTTGGAATTGTTGAAAAAGTCCAACCAGTTTTGTTTGTCTTTTTCTCTTTGTTCTTCAATTTCCTGTCAAGCAATATGCTCATAGTTAACCTTCTTGAACAAAATGCAATCAGATCATGTTGATATTAGTGCAATATGCAAATGTCTACTGTAGGCTATAATTATTAACTTTGTGCATTTTTACTTTTATTTTTAGCCAGAATTTTGCATTTATAGTGTCTGTTCTCCAATTCAAAGAGAGTTCAGCTAAGAACAAAAAAGTGAAATTTGACTGTGAACAGCTAATCATGTCTGCCTTGGAGAATACAAACTTGTACAGTCTTTCATAGACAGAAGCGGAGAAGTCTTTCCTAGAGTAAAGACAAAAGTGTCTTTTTTTATGACCGCTTACTTCATACACCACATAAATTCAGGTAAAGGTACCAAAAACAACTTGAAACTACTAGCAACTGTTAAATGATGTAGTCTGACACTGAGACACAACAATAAGGCTCCTCACTTTCGCTCTTTGTTTCTTTTTTAACATCTTTTTCTTTTTCTGTTCTCGAAGGGCATCCTCGTCGGCCCTGAAAATAGAAAATAGAAATTCACAATGCTAACATATCATCACATCCACATTCTAACAGCACTGTATTTAACCATACAGATGCAATGTACAAGTCTTCTCATCAATGGCTAAATGAAGATATTTTCCTTGTATATGTAGCATTCTATGGACAAGACTCTGAAGCGTACCTGGATTTCTTTGATGAGCTTGCTGCTATGGTAGTTTTCCCAGTTTCAGCAGGTCTTTTTGAGCCAGCTTGATCTTTTTCTCTTAATGATGAAACCTGTTTTAAAGATAATGATGATTACTGTACACTCTTGTCTGGTGGATATGTTCACAATCATTGTACTGCACAGTAGAAACAGACAAGACTTTTTAAGTTTGTACAGTCCTACGTGTACTGAAGCTGGTTTTCATGTGGGTCGTCTCTGAGACACAGGTTAAATTCAAATTTGGAAATGTCAGTTTTTCAGGACCAGGATTTAAACACTCCCAACAAGGGGAGAACCAACAACACCCTAGGCTGGATTTTGAACCTGTGCCACATTTGCGGAGGAAGGGAAGGGGGGGGAGGGGGGAGGTGGGGGGTGCTCTCAACACTACACCATCCCTGCTCCCTCTAAATACAACTGTGTTGATACATGTATGCAGGCTCTGCATTACCTTGTCAGAATTTTCTTGTGTTACATGTAAGGTCTCATTTTTTAGTTGTACATGTATAACATGTTTACAAATTATAATTTTTATTTTTTTGATTTGCCACACAAACAAAAACAGAATTACAGTACATTTGATAAATAAATTACACAAAATTAATATACAGTTAATATAATATACAGTTAAGATACAAAACTACAATTTATATTTTACGGGATGGAAAAACAAATGGTGAGGTAACCTAATAAAAACCACGAGGCTTGGAAGCTTAGGTTCCCTATCAAGAAATGCCAGATGACTACATGTATATTAGATAAAGTAATTAATGAACAAGCCTTACTTATTGACAGAGTTATTAGTTAACGATAATGTAGGTTTTAAAGGAGCTCGTCACAGTATTTTAAGTTATTTAGGCCACATACAAAATTACCTTTAAATGGTAGGAAACCTGAAAATAACAGTTTAATAAGATAGAAAAACACCAAAGAGATAATGAGAAACCATAAAGGAACAAGGATGGCTACAGATGGAGAAGATCAACACGGATTACAAACGACGAATTTGAAATTGAGGCTGAACGTTTCAATATACGCAAACCATAACGTAGCCCCCTTAAGTGATGATGAGCCAGAAATTTCAGGTGAAAGCGAATTAAAAAATTTAGGACCTCGATAGAATACAGAGAATTGCTGGATATTTGTTCTACATAATTATGCTAGACAAAAAGTCAGTCAGGATTGCATGCCTTGTTCAAATGATTGCATGAAGATGATAAATGTATACATTGTACATGACAGTCACTGTCCACTGTATCTCACATTTCAAATTGAACTTGATTTTTTTGCCAACAAGTTCATAAATGTTCAAAGAGATATTTTTCTGCCAGAAAGGTCAGTTAGAAAACTAAAGCACAAATGCACACGTAAGAAGAAAAAAAGAAGATAAAAAATGCTATTTCTACGCTGTGAAGCAAGTCAAAAATAGATAAATTTATATATGAATACAAAACATTAATATAAGATGAGCACACAATAGCTATTGCAACTAAATCCACTTCTCCACCCCTGCCCTCCCCTTGCACTCCCATCCACCCCCCTTCTTTGTACAATGGCTAAACAGCACTATATGTAGCAGCTAGTTTGGTTGTTTTACAGGACTGCTCTGTATCTAAATAATTTCTTGATTTTACACAAGCAGACCCTGCCTCACCTTAACAATTTCTGTGTTTCCATATTTTTCAAATGAAACTGTACATGTTGTAAGGTCATCAGATATGCTATCAACAGTCGCATCATAATAGCTAGAAAACACAAAAACATCCTTAATTGACATAATTACAAAATCATAATAACCAATTTAAATTAATTTAAACCTATAATAAAGGGAGAAGTACATGTATAATGATACTCCTATTGTACATATTAATAGGTTTTCACAGGCACTCACTCTTCTGAACTGACCCTCTCCAACCCTTAAATAGACCCATAATACATGTAATTGCTGCAAGTAAAATTTAAATTGACTTTAAAACATGCTCTGGAATGAAAAATATGACCATCAAAGTTGCTGCGTTACCGAGCATGTGCACATGCAGCTGTACAATGAATTTGTTGTTGTTGTTGTTGTTGTTGTTGTTGTTGTT